ATATGGCTAGACAAGTTTTACGATCAAATTAAGAACTATTAAAGATTGTCAGAGATCCGTATAAAACCCTAGCCATGGTTACGCCGGTAGCTACAGTGGTGATAATGATGATAATGGTGATGCTGTTGATGATCGGTGATAATGATGTAAATGATGTGATGGTGATGATAAGAACATTAATTTTATGATGATGATGATAATGGTGGTGGTAGTAGTGATAATATATAATCTAATGCATTTTTTCGTTATAGTGCAAAGGGTTCAGACTGTGGTCTAGTGAATGTCAACATCCCAACTAACGGCGCAGAGATCGGAGGAGCTTTTGGTATGTGCTTGTTATCTATAAAAGGAAGGGAAAAGGGTCCCAAGGCAGGGGAAAGAGGGACATAGCAAACAGAATGTTTGTAGGACTGGGATGGAGAGGGGAATCCAGAAGGGGAGGGGAGGGGAGGAGAGGAGAGGGAAATATTTTGTGTGTAAGTAGAAGAATAAGACTAAAAAATCCTGGTATCTGTCTATAGGTGGTGAAAAACAAACTGGTGGCGGACGAGAGTCTGGTAGTGATGCCTGGAAATCTTACATGAGGAGATCAACATGGTATGTATATGGTATTGAAGAGTAATAATAAATGAATGGATAATTGGATAGATTGGGTGGATGGATGAATGGGATGGTTGAATGGGATGTTTGCATGTTTAATGGATGGGATAAATGGATGACTGATGATGGTTGAATGGGATGTTTGGATGATTGATAGATGGGATGGTTGAATGGAATGCGTGAATGATTGATGATGGATGATATGGTTGAATGGGATAAACGGATGATTAGTGGATGGATGGGATGGTTTGATGGAATGAATGTATGATTGATGATGGATAGGATGGTTGAGTGGGATAAATGAATGATTAGTGGATGGATGGGATGGTTTGATGGAATGAATGCATGACTGATTGATGGATAGGATGGTTGAATGGAATGCATGAATGATTGATGATGGATGGGATGGTTGAATGGGATAAACGGATGATTAGTGGATGGAATATATGGATGGGATGAATAGATGGAATGGGATGGATGGGTCTTATGGATTGGATGAATGGGATGAATGAGTGAATGAATGAATGTTTGGGCACTTAGATAATAGAATACCTGAATGAATTTCTCATTTTATTACAGCACCATTAACTACAGCAAAGATCTACCTCTTGCTCAAGGAATTAAATTTGGTTAAGCACACCTCCACTTGCTACTTACAAAGTAAGCAACATATTTTACAAAAAGAGTAGAAAACCAGGCCACGGCTATATTGTGCACAAAAATGTTTGAAAAATAGCTGGACTTTCGTCACCTAGTGATAGAATTGTTTTAATTTAAACAGTTTTCATACGAGTTGCAATTGAAAATAATGCACTTTGAAATGCACTGTGGTTGGTTGGTATAGTATTTGCTAGGTGTTGGAAACCATTTGAGAGTTGAGAACTGTGGTATCTGTTTCGCAGGCTATGTCTGACGCTAATGGAAATCTAACGTATTGAATACACTGCGTACTAAATATATTCCTTAACACTAATAAAAAGCACTGTTTTTCAAAGATCATCTGTCATTTCTTGGACACTAGGAGTGCCAGCTCTCTTTAGAAGCTTGATCAAACCTTTTAGATAAATTAAGTGCACTAATAGTCCAAATGTTTACCCCCATAGAATTAGTTATGCGTCCTGAGGAATGGGCTATAATATGTACTGTGGTGTGCCACAGGTTAAGTTATGGGCCCTTAAGGAACCAATCTGTTGTTTGTACTGTGGTGTGCCACTGGTTAAGTTATGGGCCCTTGTGGAACCAAGCTGTTGTTTGTACTGTGGTGTGCCACCGGTTAAGTTATGGGCCCCAGAGGAACCACGCTGTTGTTCGCACTGTGGTGTGCCACCAATTAATTATAGGCCCTTGGAGAACATGCTGTCTTCAGTCATATGGCACTCCACAGGTTTAGTTTTGATTCCAGGAGCCAGCCAAGAAAACTTACATTTTTAACCACTCATTTTTACTGTGAAATTTTTATAAGTTTTACGTGCATTTTTTTTTTTTTTTTGTGAGATTATTTCTTTATCTTCTGTTGAAAATCTGTAAGCTTTCAGAAGAGCCATCAGTTTTTCAACGCTGAAAGAAATAAGAGCAAATGAATATAAGTCAGTACACTTTCACTGCCTCTTATGTCCCTAAAATTTACTTTATTCCTTTGAAATATGTTTTTCCCTCGGGAATACAACCAACACCTATGCCAAAATTTTTCATTTTCCTTGGAGGCTTGAGTTACTGGGATTCAACTGTAGTACAAAATAGCACCAATGAAACGATTGCAAACAAAAGAAATAGACGTGTTGAGTGCTATTTAGTTTTTATGCTATTTCACGGATATATAGTTTGCACTCAATAATAGCCTAGTCTATTTTGTGTCTTTGACTTACATGGACTGTAGATTGCCTGTAGCGTCTCTCTGGTAACGGAGGAGCGTTGTCCCCATTACGATGGCGTTTTTCACCCTAAATGTGCGATTAAAATAATGAGAATGAGAATAGGAATGAGAATAGGAATGAGAATAGGAATGAGAATATTAAAAAATCAAATTAGGCACTTACCATTACTTTAAGTAGATCCTCATAATCTGCTTCATCTTCGTCTTCCTGCAACCAAAATGTCACGACAATGATGAGGATAGTGATGATGGTTGGGATGAGGATGTGATGAAAATAAAGTAACAAATAGACCTCTTTACCTAATTATAATCTTTTCTCATTTCATACCATGTCATTCCCTTGAGTAACATTTTTTTGTTTAACGGTTGCTCATGAGAAGACACATGAATATGGATATAACTCAAACAAAGAATCTTATTCTTAAGAGAATGACACATGGTCTGGAATGGGAGAACATTACCCCCAAAGTAAAGAGGTTCTCTTGCACAAGAGAGTTAAAAGCTCAACACCTGGGGTAGTGTGGGTCGAAGGTAAAAAACACTTTATATAATTAATAGAATACACAACCTGTCCACATGGCATTGTTAGGAGATCTCCCTCGGGATTGATTTCATTCTGTTGAAACAAAAATGAGAATAGAATTATTCCTTCCTTTTCTCATATATCCGTTTATGTGTTCTATCTTGCATCTTGAAAGGCTTCAGGTCAATAATGACGAATCTTTTAAGGGGAGACAATTGCAAGCAGAATAGAGTAAAGTTTTATGACTGTAAAATGGAAGGTCACGGTGTGGTTTGATGTCATCCATTAAACCAATCATGGAGCATTGTATTGAGCATCATCCAATCACAATGCTAGATATACAGCAAGAATTTTAAGAGTCACCTTTTAATAATAATAATGATAATAATAACTATGCAGCTTCTCGTTAATCCCATATAGGTAACTGTCCAATTATTTTCTTAATTGGACAGATCTTGTTGATATGGGATTAATTAGGCAGCTATATAATTAATAGGTAATGGGATTTCATGCTCCCCAATCAAGAAATAATTAGACTCGAAAACTTCCTCTGACTGCCAAATTGGACTCAGCCTATGGCCTCACCCAATTTTGTCAGTCCTCGGAATTTTTCTGGTCCAATTAAGAGCATGGAGTCCTATTACATATACTAATTTATTACTTACATAACCCTATTTACAATAGAAGATCAATCGCGCTTTACACAAATAAATCACTTTAATACCTCTTGATGGTAGGTGACCATCTCATCGAGGGTCTTGAACACTTTCGGCATTCCTACGATGACGTATTTACCAGATCGTGTCTGGTCAATCATGTAATGCTTACAGCGATTGGCAACCCTGGAAATCAAACATGAATTGATTGTATTCTAGACTGGTAAATCCAAGGTCATTAAAACAACCAAGTAATGTCTTTCACGTAATGCTTGGATAGATAGGTTACACAAAATATAATGTAGATTTCAAATGAACTAGATAAGTATAATTTAAGTAGATTTATATATATATATTTTTTATTGATTTTATTGATTTCGTTACCAAAGAAAATACGCACATTATGCATGAGAAATTACAATCAGTACAGAGGACAAAAAAAAAGAAAGAAAGAAAAGACGGGCATGTGACAGGAGGCAGTCACAGGACAGAGTCCCAATTGACAACCGCCCCCTTACGGTAAAAGGAGTAAGAGTGAAAAAGTAGAGACAAAAGTATAAAAATTAAATATGATGTAGAAGAGATAACTAGCTAAAAACTAGTGTGAGCTGCGTCAGTGTTTCTAATGAAACTAATGATAAAAAGGTAAATTATACACCGTGAAAAGATGAAAAAACTTACTAACGTTTCCAATATAATGTAGATTTCATATTAACTTGCCGCATAATTTAATCCTATAGCTTTCATAAGGGAGTCAGTCTGACTTTGAAACATAGGCTTCTTTCGCTTGTTTTTACTTGCTTAAAGATTTCATATGACTATAAAATGTCACATCATTTATAATTCAACCAATCAGAGCCCACAAAATCTCTTCTCATCCAATCAGAATTTATGCCACGGACCATCACTGTCAAGGCTTGGCTCTTTTGTACAGTGAAATTTTGAGTCGCATAAATAGAGCTCTATGGTACGGTTAGAGAAAGTTCATTTAAAATGCCGAGAGAGGGGGGATGAAGATTTCTCCTCAAAAACCTTATTTTTCTAAAAGCTCCCTCTTAGTAATAAACTTAATTTACGAAGCCCCCCCCCCCCCTCCCAAAAAATCCATGAAAAATTTCAATTTCAAATTGAGAGCCCCCCTTGTATGCATGCCCCCACCTGTGGCATATTAAATGAACTTTCCCTTACAGTAAGAATTCAAATTCAATTCTTTTACTCATGAAAACTGTTGTACTCTACTCACCGAAAGGTCAATGAATATCCAAAACGACTCTCGCTGACTCGTATGAGGAAACAGCCTAGTGGCTTGTTGGTTAGAAGCCGCTCTGCTCGCCTGTGAGTAAGACAAGAGTGAGAAAATAAATTGAATAGAATCCTTTGCAATTCTTTACACTATCATTCCATGCCAACAATTATTTTGTCAATACACACTTCCTTCCAACCTAAACACACGCATTTGTCGGTCGGTCCGTCCGTCCGTCCGTCCGTCTGTCTGTCGGTCAGTCCGTCTGTCTGTCGGTCTGTCTGTCGGTCGGTCCGTCTTTCAGTTCTTCTGTGGGGTCCGCCTGCTTGTTGGTCTGTCTGTCTGTTGGTCCATCCATCTGTCTGTCTTCCGGTCCTTCTGTCGGGTCGGTCTGCTTGTTGGTCTGTCTGTCTGTCTGTCTGTCACATTTACCTTCTCGTAATGACACCATGGAACCAATCATGGAACACACCATCAGCCAGCATACCAGCACCTCTTGGTGCTTGTGTCTCCTTGTACCACTGAACAGCACTGGAAAAGAATTTTGAAATTCAAATTTTAAAAAAATTTAAAGGGACTCTGAGGTACCTGACAGATCATAGCTTAAAATGTACATCAAACCTTGTCGATTTTGAAAATCGAACATATGCCAAATCTTTCCTGGCCGTTAGGCGGTCTGGTGTATTAAATACTCACGTTTCCTTGGTAGTGATAGCACCGAATCTTTGTTGGTTGGGGTCAGGCTCCCGTACGAATTCCTCTTCATCGATACATCCATCACCAACACCCTCGTCTACGGTCTAGAAAGTATTAATATGACATCAAAAATACTTGAATGACGTTAATAGTCATTTCAATATTAATGAAAGACGTCAATATTAATATGTCATCAAAAATACTTGAGTGACGTCAATATTAATGAGTGGCGTCAATACTAATATGTCATCAAAATAACTTGAGTGACATCATAACTGCTTTGTTATGTCAACCAAAATGGCCGCCATCTTTTGCTAAATGCCGGATAACCGTGATAAACGATGCCATGAGATGTAATGGCCCAAAGTAACGCAATGTATAGTAATCAAACAGCATGTAACTTTGGCAGCGTAACGCAACCTATTGCATTAGGATGTAACATGGTGTAACACAATGCAAGGGAAACCTATCGGGATGTAACACCTTGGACAACACAACGCATTGCATCGGAATGTAACAAAGTGTAACGTAATGCACATGAATTTAAAAGTATGTAGCTTGTACAACGTAACGCAATGTAACATTCTGGCGTAAGGCAGCAAGGGCAGATCCATGAATTTTTGAGAGGGGGTCCTAACATATACACCACACAAAATCTAATTCAAAACTCTGGCAAAACTACATTTTAGGATCAAAATTATTATTTGAACCTTAGGTATGACCTTAGGTGGACCCCAAAACCCGTGACAGTCTTTTACTAACCTGCTTTCCAAAGTTAGCGGTTTGGGTTCCCATCTGATCAAAGCGAAGCGAAGCATATTTAGTTGTTTGATCCCTCTTTGGCTTGGGAAGATCTGAACAAATGATTTAACAGTCATACAAGGAAAAGATGGAAAGACAATACTGAAACCACAATTGTTGAAAGGGGACTACCTAACAAGATGGTGATGATGAAGATGATGATAAAGATGGTAATGGTCATGATAATGATGATGATGAAGATGATGGTTGTGATGATGAAGATGATGGTTGTGATGATGAAGATGGTGGTGGTGATGATGATGATGAAAATGATGGTGATGACGATGGTGGTGATGAAGATGATGATGATGACGATGATGGTGATGATGATAGTGGTGATGGTGGTGGTGGTGATGATAATAATTTTAAACAAAATCTATGACGAATTATAGGGCGCCAATGCCCGAAAGCTTGGGAATTTTTGGTCAAAAAAATATTTATTTAACCATGTACAACCATGATGGTGATGGTGATAACCATTTCAACCATCACAAACGGCAAAGTCAAAAGTACAGTAAATTAGCGAAATAGGTTAAACCAATCTGGTTCAAGGGGACAAAAAGACCGTGTCATTTACAGGAGCCACTAGATTACCGTTCCTTACCAAGTTTCTTCTTTTTTCTAAGAAGCTCAATCTGTTTATCAATCTCATGCCCCGGCAGGTGGATTAACTGTAGACAGGTCTTTGCTGTGAGTTTGTCTGTTTTGGAGGCTTTGCGAAGTCGCTTGTAACGACGACGGATCAGAAAACCACGAACAGCTGAAAGGCAAGAATAATAAGCAAATAACACCCAGAGAAGGTGATCTTTCCTTGGTATACACAAACATGAAAAACTCCTTTTACGAAAAAGGTGCATTCTGGTCTAGTTTGGGTGTTAACAGCACCAACAAGGTGCATTCTGGTCTAGTTTGGAAGTTTAAAACAGTGCCAACAAGGTGCATTCTGGTGTAGTTTGGGTGTTAACAGTACCAAAAAGGTGCATTCTGGTCTAGTTTGGGTGTTAACAGCACCAACAAGGTGCATTCTGGTGTAGTTTGGGTGTTAACAGTACCAAAAAGGTGCATTCTGGTCTAGTTTGGGTGTTGACAGACATACCATTCTGACACTTACCTTTCTGCATGTGAATCACAGACTTGTTCACATCTTCAAGCATCTTGGCCAGTTTCTCTGTCTGCCAGTACTTCAGGAAGACTTTAGTTTTGCTGAAATGAAAAGGAACAAAAGCTATTTTACACCGATCTAGTATGAAGCGGCTGATTGCCAGATCGAATTGGCGTTTTAGGTCTTGCAGAGTGAGGAAAACCGAAGACCAGTAGAAAAACCTTGAATCATAAGAGAAAGACCTAACAAATCTACTCACAATATGATGCAAAGTCCAGGAATTGAGCCCAAGACCCCCGAGGTGAAAGAAATGTTATCAGAAACACCAATCCTGCTTCCCAAAGCCCTTTTATTTGGTTAGTTGCCCGCAATTTTTCAGAAATTATTTTACTTTTAATAATGCTATACACAACAGGTTCACTAGACAAAGCAATATGTTACATTTACCAAGGGTAAATGTCCGAGTTGGCTGAGAAATCATTTTACTATCATGGATGTATAATTTTTAATAGGCTACGATCATAGTTGATGGTTGTTGGACCTTTCCCGGATTCGCTTGGATGCTCGCGGAGTGATGGCCACGGGTCGAGGTTGGCTTTGATTAGACATTTCCGATTTAGCGGCATAGGGAAAGTATATTCCGCATTCTATAATCCGACCGGAATAGCATAAATTAAAAAGAGCTATCATCATTTTATTCCAGATTTAACCAATAGAATTTTCAAAACTCCTTATCTTACTGTTTTCTCAGCTAGTACAATGTATTATTAGGTAAATAACAACTGCGTAAGAAAGTTTGTAACTATTGTTACTTACGTTACTCCTTCGTCTTACTACTATGGTCCTTAA